AACGATAAGCTTGGGAATAAAACATTGTACTATTGTTATGCTAAGGACTGTAGCCGTGTCTTACAACAGTACAGTTACTTGCATCAATGAATGCCATGATATTGTGAGGTTATCAAAATCACTTGTTCTTGGGGTTTGTAGGAGTGGTATGTACAAGACTGGTTAGAAGACTGATAAACTTGCATGATTTGATCATTCTTTATTCAGTAGCAATGGAGTAGAACACCAAGTCATGTTTCATGCTAGAATTAACATAACAGCTGTGTACCATGTAAACAACTTGGCAGACCATGCATATTACATTTCCCATGATGCATTTGTAATCCTGGGGATTGCAGATCCACGGTTTAATTTAGACAATACAGCCCATGACTAACTCCCATTGCCCTCAATAGTGAGATAATTGTAATTCAGTGAAGGTGTGCTTTCAAGTGTGATTGTGCAATTGAGGTAGTATATTTACTGTGGCAATCCGATTTTTATTTTTTCTGTTTAAAGCGGGATTGTGAGTTTCATTAACCTGTGGTCCCTGTGAAAATGGAACAAGTCCACTTTCACAAGGCAGGTTAGTGAAACCCTGGAAGATAAACTTGTATTCAGTAGTTCTACTAGTAGAAAGGTTTCTAGGTGTAATCAGTAAAAATAATCGTTCTTGCACAGCATCGTTATATTTTTTTCATCAAAAATGGTCCAAAATAAATTTTAAAAAGAAGTCCAAACTGCTGTTAAGCCAGTAGAATGTAATCCTCCCTGATGGTACTTTGTTTGGTCGAAATCAAACAATTAATTTTGTTCTTCCAGTAAGTGCAGAAATATATACTACCGGGTAGTACTCTAATAGGGTGGCACTACGGCGTTGACGTCCAGCTTGTACAGCGACACCTGTACACGGACAAACAGAGCCCTATCACTATCAAGGTACCACAGAACCATGGCTATACCAAACGTAGCATGCCTCTTTTTTAGCTCTGCTGTTGACTTTGTCAAGCGGAGCTTATCATATAAGTGATTGTTCGTTGGTGTTGTCTGTGTCAATGTTTTACTTTTTCGACTTCTTGAAAACAAGCCTGAATGCTTTGAAACTTTGTGTATATGTACTGTGGGTAGTCCTCTCTCAGATTTGTTCATTTTGTAATGATATCTTTAATTTTCTAATTTTGGTGAATATTTCTGTAAATTTTGGTGAAAAGTGATATTTTCAACTTCTTGTTAAAAACCACAAGTCCAATTGCTTTGATATTACATATATATATAGGTACTACAGGTAGATCTCCCTCAGATTTGTTCATTTCATGACGATATCTTCAATTCTCTAATTTTGATGAATATTTTTGTCATTTTTAGTCAAAAGTGATATTTTGGAATTCTTAAAAACGGCAAGTTTGATTTCTTTGATATTACATATGTAGGTACTACATGTGGATCTCTCTCAGATTTATTCATTTCGTGTTGATATCTTCAATTCTCTGATTTTAATGAATAGTTTTGTCATTTTTTGTAAAAAGTGATAGTTTCGACTTCTTGTTGAAAACAGCAAGTCCGATTGCTTTGATACTATACATATTGTTCATTTTCTAATGATATCTTCAGTTCTTTCAGTTCAGTTCTTTAATTGAAATGTGCATTGCTAACAGTGTAGCTATCTCAGCCGACAGGCTGCTTGTTTAGATATTTCACTATAAACCGAATGATTACTAATATTTTCATAAATGCTGAAACCAAATGCGTATTTCTTTAACTTGTCTGAGAAATGTCACAAAACACTAAAGTGTGTTCATGTTTCTCGTCTAGACTGGGCATACCATTTATAGCATAGGGTTGGGAAATGCAATTACATATAAATATGAGAATTACTTTTATTTGGACTTATTTGCAAAGTAATTAATAACTGTTGACTTGGATGAAATTTCTGTACATTTTTTCTTACTTTTGTTTGATAAATATAAGTTTTAAAGCGATATTTTCGGCGAGACATATTGTTATTGCATCAAGAGTTTGCGTACGGTCGAAAACAAAGTTAATGAGCTTATGATTGGGAAAGTACATTATATTACTAACCTTTAGCAAATGAGTTCAGAACTAAACATTCACAGTGATGTGACTTTTTACAAATTTTTGTTTTACTTTTCAGATTATGGTATACTTTGTGAGTTCACAGTTTGGTGTAATTCCAGGTCTACAGGGTCTGTTTGTTGCATGTATCTTTGCAGGAACTTTAAGGTAAGCAGCATAGAACTTTTATTATC